TATGAATTTTTATCTTATAATGAGATATTTAATTTATTTTAAGTAAATTTATGCATGATATGAGATAGGGTCATATCATTTTTGCATAAGTGATTAAGCTGTTTTACTAACAGTATTCGCTAAAGCGGCCATTATAGTCACTTTGTTATAAATTAATTGCCTATACATCTGAGGGTTGACTCTGGCTTTCAGTTATATTCTGCCTTATTCCATTACTACACTATTTGAATTAGTCAAATTATTTGAATTCCATTACTACACTTTAAAGTATGGTTTTAAGTCAGGGAATGGAATGACTCATCATTTCTTAGCAATTCCAGAAATGTTATGTTTTGATACAAATTTAAAAACAAATTTTAGATTTGTTTCCTTGTCTTTGAAGAATGTCTTGAAAATTTTAATGGGATGGCATTGAATCTATCTACTTCTTTGGGGAGGGTAGTCATTTCATTTGTTGTTATTAAATTTTAAAAAATATGCTTTAAATCACACCTTTCAGTGCTCATGGTTTACTTCTGACTCTGTACTCAGGAATTGCTCCTGGAAGTGTTGGTGGAGCCTTAGAAGGTGCCAGGGGTTGAACCCAGGCTTGGCTACATGCAAGACGATTGCCTCATTTTCTGCACTAACTCTCCAGCATAGGGTGTTCAGTTTAGAAATAGTACTTCTAATTCATGAACAAAGAGTATGCTTCCATTTTCTCCTATTTCATTCTATTTCTTTTAGTAGTGGCATATAGTTTTATAATTTTTCTCTTTTTTTTGTTAAGTTGAATATAAAGTAACTGAGTTGTTGACACAAAGGTAAATAGGACTTATTTTCCTATTCTATGTCATTGTTTATAAAAATGCAACATAAGCCTATGCATTGGTGTATAGCTGATACTTTCTATATAGGTTTATCATTTCTAAAATTTTTATATGATTCTCTGTGGACTTATATGTATAATATGCCATATAGGAGAAATGCGAAGTTGACTTCTTTGCCTATCACATCCCTCTCATTTCCTGTCATGCTTAATTGCTCTGATTCATATCTAGCAACATGCTCTAAATAGTGATGTGAGAGAAAATCCTTACTTTGTGTCTTATCTGAGGGGCAGACATTCCACTTTTCACCATCGAATATGATGTTAACTTTGAATTTTTGCTCTGTGTTTTTTACTATATTAAGGTAACTTCCCTCTGCTCCATTTTATTGAACATTTTTATTATAAATAGGTATTGAAATTTGTTCATTGCTTTCTCTGCAGCTATTGGCGTGATTTTAGTTTGATTTTTTATTTTTATTGATGTAGTTATCACATTAATTGGTTTGTACATATTGAAACTCCCTTGCATTTCTGAGAAAAGTTTATTTGATTATGGTATATGATTCACATTAGGTATTGCTAATATATGCTTGCAAGAATTGTTTTTTGAGGATAGTTGCATCTATGTTCTTCAGGGAAATTGCACTGTTTTTCTTCTTTTAGTGATGTTTCCGCTTCTTTGGAAACAGTTTCTGTGGGCCCCACCGAAATTGAAGATTTTCTAATCCTTCTGCTTTGTGGAAGTACTTGAGAAGGATAGGCAATAGTCTGGTTGACCTCTCTTGTGAACCCACTTATACCTGGTATTTTGCTTGGGGCACTTTTTGTTTACTCTTTTGGTTTCCATACTATTAATCGGTCTGTTCAGATTTGTCTGTTTTGGTTTGCATACTAGTGATTGATTTGTTCACATTTCTTCCGATACAGTCTTCAGTAGTATTATTATTCTAAAAATGAATGAATTTCTTCTGGCTCCTCTATGTAAGTGACATAAAATTGTGTGTAGTAATCACATATTATGTTTTATTAGATAATATGATTATAATATTGTTAGTATTTGTGGTTTGTTTGTATACTGTTAGGCCACTTTATCCCCACAGAAGTGGTTAGGACACCTCACCAACGCGGTCATTTTGCTTCTAGTTCACCTCATCTTTCCCCCACTTTTCCCTTCACTACTTGATTCTGCAACCTTAGTTATGTAAACCAAGATGTCCATGAGAAGGCTCAGAAGGCTGAACCACACTCTTTGCACAGATCTGTCAACAGAACCTTATGCATTGCGAGAAACAACCTCTGAGTTTTGAACTGGCAGTAGCACTGAAGGTTGTGTTCTCCAAACAATAAACAAACATTAAGGTTATAAGGACTAATAATTGTCATTATGTATAATTCTTAAAAACAATGCATATAAAACACAGTCATATAAAGGAATTATAAAACTACATTTTGTATCATGTTTAACAGCTAATTCTAAATTAGGATGCTATTTTGTATGTTCTGGTATGTACAAATGGTAGTACTAAATAAGTACCTCAATAGAAATAATTAATAATAAAATAAAATTAGAGCAGTTAAAAAAAAAGCTATGACTTATTTCTGTCCGAAGTTATGAACTATAAACCAAAATTTCACTAGTGCATTTCTAAGCATTTTGGAATCCTAAAATCTTCCTAATTGATTTAGTATAACTGCACTTGGTATTTATGATCTTCTTATACAGCTGAAGAAAGTCTATTTTAATGTGAGATCACAAGGTGTGTTATATATTAGCCGCAGGGAAACCTTACCTTCAGCATGATCCATTGTATTTGAAATTTATTGCAAGCTAAGTGTCATTCACGTTAATAATAGTTGCAAAGGGAGCTAGAATATAGAGTGGCAAGTTTCAAGTGACCTGGTTATTTGTAATTTATGGATACTTAGCAGTACTGTGTGGGGACCAAGTACAAAATGCCTCTGACCTACTGACTTGAAAAGATTATAACCTTTCCATCCAGTACTACTATACAGTATTATATTAGATATTAAAATGGTTTTATAGATTCATCTTAAGTATTTAAAAGATAAATTACTTTAGGAAAAACAATTCATTTGATTGTTTTTAATGTTTTTGTTAAGGGTTAATAGTAAAACATATTCTTATTTCCAACTATTATAGTTCTCTTGAACTACAGTGAACAGGCTAATCGATCTTTTAATAAGAGCCATTAAAGATGGCTGGCAGATTTTGTGATTTTTGGTTCAAACATATTTTTAAGTTTTGTCACACATTTTTTAAAGTGTTCAAATTTTATATCCTATTTGCCAAAAAAATATCACTCATTGATATTCACACGTTTCTGAATCTCATACTGTTAATAAATATGAGGGTTGTATTATTGTTTCCGGATCCTATTTAAACGTTAGCATATGAAATCATCTTTTAGTCAACAAAAGTCATTAAAATATTTTCACATGAATATTTATTGCAATTTGTTATTTTTTTCTAATATGAATATTGGTTTTTAATTATTGTTATAGACGTGCATCATTTGTTCACTATGGGTATTATTTTTTTTCCTTGAGTCTTGTATTTTGACATGAAATGTAATTTTTTTCTGAGTGCTTATGTACATGTGGCACTGACTGTAGCACTGTCCTCCCATCATACAGCGATTTTCTTGAGCGGGCACCAGAAACGTGTCCATTTTGTTCTTACACTTTTGGGCGTATTGAATATGCCACGGGGAGCTTGCCAGGCTCTGCCTGTGCGGGTGGGATACTCTCGGTAGCTTGCCGGGCTCTCTGAGAGGGATGGAGGAATCGAACCCTGGTCAGCCACAAGACCACCTATGCAGTTATGTGCATGTAGCATTTCAAATTAGTGATCTCTGTTCTTTGAAACTTCTGGACACACTGATACACTTGCCTATCATGATATTTATACAGGTAGTTGTTCTGAAGGCCACTGAATACGGTGGTCCCTGAGGGTCACTCTGAGGAGTACTTTGGGGTTGTAAGACCGTATTCAGAGGTCTTGGTGGGAAAGGTGTTATAGCTGTTGCAGTAGGGAATCATGTACTACTGAGGATAACCTAAGGGCCCATATGGGCAAGATATCTTGTCTGCTAACTTGACCAACATCCCCAGACAAATTTCAGTTAAATTTTAATAAGTTGAGTTGCCATATCACTTTTCATAGAAGTTAGATCATTTTAAATTGCCACTATGAAGATATGAGACTTTTGCTTTCTCATTCTCTGTTCTCAGCAATAAATCTTCTTCCTAATCTTTATTTATTATATTATTCTCAGAGGTGTGGGGTAGCATGCCATTCAAGTTTTGGTTTACATTTCTGCTACAATAGTGATGACAAACGTTTTTCCACTTATCTATGCCTTCTTTGGTATAGTGCCCAGTTCTTTACCTCAGATTTATTTGGGAGATGTTTGTTACCTTTTTTATTTTTAAATTTTTGAGAATTCTTATCATTTAGACCTTTTTAGATATATCATCTCAAATGTTTCTCCAATTTATTCATATATCTCCTTTTCAGATATAGTGTTTCTTTTTTTTCTTTTTGGGTCACACCTAGCAATGCACAGGTATTGCTCCTGGCTCTGCACTCAGGTATTACTCCCGGCAGTGCTCAGGGGACCATATGGGATGCTGGGAATTGAACCCAGGTTGGCCGCGTGCAAGGGTAGCACCCTGCCTGCTGTGCTATCGCTCCAGCCCCTATAGTGTTCTTTTGATGTTCACCATCAGCTTTGTTTATTTGTATTTTGTGCTACCCTCCACAGTACTCAGGCCTTACTCCTGACTCTGTGCTCAAGTGTCACTCCTAGTTGGGCTCAGAGGACCAATGAGGTGGTGCCATGGATCAAACCTGGATTGGTTATCGGCAAGGCTAATGTCCTAACCACAGTGTTGTCTCTCCAAAGCAAAGCTCTAATTTAAAACATTTTTATCTGAGATACAGAATTAAACACGAAAAGATTGTTACCATTTTTCATCCTTAAAATGTACAAAAGATCAATTTTTATGGATTAATACAATTGAAACACATAGCATTTTATATGATTACATAAATATATGAATAAAATACATAATTTACATAAGTTATATAAATAACAAGTGATTTGACAGTAATAGAAATATTACATCTAAATGACTTTTTAAAAAAGATTCAATTTCTGCATTGCAGCCACCAATGAACATACACTCCATTGTGGTGCAAGTCCAGTGCATTAACAAAAAAGTGGGCACAGTTATTTACCATGAAGTTCGAATCGTGGTCAGAGACAGGAACGACAACTCACCCACATTCAAGCATGAAAGCTACTATGCTACCGTGAATGAGGTCAGTTTCTAACTATTCTTTGTTTGTGTCATTTTTTGCTAATATGTGTAACTAATTGAGGTCATAAGCATTTCAAAATAATTTCTCTAAAATCATTGATTTAACTGCTTTTAACTATGAAGAATACATTGTAAGGAGTAGTGCTTTCTTATAGAATCTCTGTAATTCACCTTACTACATAAAAATGAATTGTTAGTAAGACCAAAATATTTTAATAGATTATCATCATGATAATTTATGGCATGAAGCCATACATATGCTTATCAAGGTTTAGTAGGAGATACTTTCATGTAAGATGTGGAACTAATGTTTTGCTGTCAGTGGAGGTAACACTAATTATATACTGAATAAAATTTTTTTGAGATTTTTTTTGAGATGTTTAATGGTAAAGTTGTTTTCTAAATGTCACAATCAACTGATGACATCTTCAAGAATTAAGTATAAATCAAAACTAAACTATTAAAACAAAATTATCAATCATATAAAAAAATTTTAATTATGCTAATACTTTTAGTAAACATTTCTTTATTTGTTATTTTGCAAGTTTGTTCCTTTGGAGTCAGGATCTATGAACCAAGGACACTCACTTTCATTCTTTCTCTTTCTCTATATAAATGCGTATATATGTATATTTATGTGCACATTGTCTGCTCATTGATTGTTTTATTGATTTCATTAAGAAAATAAATCTAAAATCCCTCAATATTATCTATTATGTATATATTTTAAAAATAATTCATTTTTGAGAAATTCATATATTAGCAGGTATTTTGTAACTAAGACAATTTTGTCTAAATAATATATAGGACAAATAAGAATTGGTTGGTTAGAAAATGCAGCATTGGTCTTTTTATATCTGCAGTTTTAATATTATTTGAGATGTATTTTATTTATGTTAGAATTATTCTGTTAATAAAATATTGACGTTGTAAATGATCTTTCAGATAGTAATACCTTCTAGAATGCCTTTTAAATACATAATGTAGTAATTCTTTAAAGACACAAAAAAGTCCATAATAATATTTGTATAGAATCAAAACAGACCCCAAATAGCCAAAACTGTAATGAAAAATAAAAATTTTGGAATATCTCATTGCCTGATTTGGAATTGTACTATAAAGCTATAATGCATGGCTCTGTCACTGGAATAAAGACATACTCTGCAATCAGTGAGTCAGAACTGAATACCCAGAAACAAAACCCCATATTTATGGAGAGTTAATGTTTAACAAAGAAGCAGAGAACACAAAATGCAGTAAAGATGACTTCTTCAATAAATGATGCTGGGAAAACTGGATAATCGTGTGTTGACAACTAAAGCTGTATCAGTATTTCACAACTTAAAAGTCAATTCAAAGCAGAACTTGAGATCCAGCTGGCAACTAATAAGTTTATTGAGGCAAATATAGGAATAATACTCCAATATTTGAACCTCAAGCACATCTTCAGTTATCTGATACCACTGGCAAAGCAAAAAATCAAAAATCAAAAATGGAACTATAGCAAATTAAAGAGATTCTGCATGATAAAATAAACAGAGGCTAAAACTAAGAGACCTAACAAGTGAAAAAAAATTCTCATTCAACACATCCAAGGGGCAGTATTCAGAATATATAATATACACAGTACTTGCAAAGCTCAACAGCAACAACAACAACAAATTCAAAAAACCCACGAGAAAAATGGGAACAGAAAATAAATAGCCACCTCTCAGAGGAAAATTGGCAGAGGCCGGTAGGCACATGAGAAAGTGGTCAGCATCACTATCCTTAGGGAAATTCAAATCAAGATGTCAATGAGATATGATCTCACACCAGAGAGAATGGCACATATTAAAAATAGAGCAATCCATGCTGGTGTGGATAGGGTGAAAAAGGAACCCTCATCCACTGTTGATGGGAATGTTGTCTAGTTTAACTCCACTGAAAAACAGTAAGTAAGTAAGTAATTCTCAGTAAACTTAGAATTGAGCTTCCATATGACCCAGCAATTCCACTGTTGCATAACCACCCCCAGGACAGAAGAACTTGTTCAGAAAGACATATGCACACTATTATTCATTGCAGCACTCAATACAATAGCAAAGAAACGGAATCAACCTATATGTCTAACAACTGATGAATGGATTATGAAAATGTGGTATATGAAACACTGTGCAGCTACAAGAACTGATGAAATCTTGTAATTTGCTTCAACCTGGTTGGAACTGGAAGACACCAGATTGAGTGAAGTAAGTCAGAAGGACAACACAGGATGGTCTCACTTACCAGTGGTACAGAAAATAACTGAATAAAGAAATGTAATGTAGTAAAGGTAGGATGCCTAGAACAACCCTGATTCAGAGTATGGAGCAGAGAGGGACAGAGAAGGAAAGAAATCAAGGAAGGGGAAGATGAAGAGAAAGTGAAGTAATGGGGAACAGGGACCATGGACCTCAGATACTAGTGATATGTGGTAGTGCTATAGCTTGCTACTCAACAACACTGAAAATATGAGATCCAAACCACAACCACAGAAATTTGAAATATGCCTGTAAGGGTGGCATTGGGGAGGATTACAGAAAGGAGGTGGGAACAATGGTGGAGGAAGTTGACACTGGTGGTTGAATTGGTATTGAAATACTGTATACTTAAAACCCAACTATAAGTGACTTTGTACATTATGGTTCTTTAATTAATATTTTTCAATTAAAAATAATCTTGTAATGGTACAGATCAGTAGTCAAAGGTTAAGTGCTTTATCATTTGACCATATTTTCTTAAAATGATTCCCTTAGGAGACAGAGAAGCCAATTAGTGTAATTAACCACATTCGATTATCATTTCAATGCTTTTATATCTAGAGTACAATCTTTGAATTAGAATTTATGTGAGCAAGGGCTGGATCGATAGCACAGTAGGTAGGCCGATACCCTTGCACCCAGCCAACCCAGGTTCAATTCCCAACCTCCTATATGGTCTCCCAAGCACCACCAGGGGTAATTCCTGAGTGTATCAACCAGGAGTAACCCTGTGTATTCCCGGGTGTGACCCAAAAGAAAAAAAAATAAGACAGGGGCAAGGAGTGGAAAGAGGTGGGGTGTTGGAAGGGACACTGGGGACATTGGTGGTGGAGATTGGGCACTGGTAGAGGAATGGTGCTAGATCATTGTATGACTGAAACATCACGGTCACAGTCATGGTACTCTCGTTGTTCATCGATTTGCTTGAGCAGGCCCAGTAACATTGTGAGACTTGTTACTGTGTTTGGCATATCAAATACGTCATGAGGAGCTTGCCAGGCTTTACCGTGAGGCCGAGATACTCTCGGCAGCTTGCTGAGCTCTCTGAGAGGGGTGGAGGAATTGAACTCGGGTCAGCCATGTTGGCTGAGTGTAAGGCAAACACCCTAGCTGCTGTGCTATCGCTACAGCCCTGACTGAAACTTAGTCACTAAAATTTATACGTCTGTAAAAAAAAGAACTTGTGTGAGCTTTATCTGATCATAAACTGATGGTAAAATTATCTTTTACCATTTACTTAAAAATACTTTAATTGTATTACTCTCATGGCTGGAGCGATAGCACAGCGGTAGGGCGTTCGCCTTACAAGCGGCCAACATGGCCGACCCGAGTTCGATTCCTCCGCCCCTCTCGGAGAGCCTGGCAAGCTACCGAGAGTATTCGATATGCCAGACACAGTTAACAACAAAGTCTCCAATGGAGACGTTACTGGGCCCGCTCGAGCAAATCGATGATCAACGGGAGGGCCTTTACCTTTACCTTTACTCTCATATTCACATGTGTATAATTTCTCAATATTCTTAAGGAAAGGGTCATTTATTTTCCTTGGTCGACTTTAAAATTTTTATTTTTTGAATTAAGTTGCCATGAGATACACAGTTCCAAAGTTGTTCTTGGTCAGGTTTCAGTCATACAATGATCTGATACCCTCCATCAGTGGATCATTTCCCACCCCTGCTCCCCTATTATACCTTGATGGCTCTATGCCTCTATGCAGGCACCATATTTCTCTCCCTCCCTCCTTCCTCCCTCCTCCCTTCTCTCTCTCCCTTCCTCCCTCCCATCCTCTCCCTCCCTCCTTCCCTCCCTCCCTCTCTCACTCTCTCTCTCCTTCCCTCTCTCTGTCTTTATCTCCTCTCTCTTTCTGTGACTCTCTCTGTCTCTGTCTGTCTGTCTCTGTCTCTGTCCCTGTGTCTGTTTCTGTCTCTGTCTCTCTGTCTCTGTCTCTCTGTCTCTGTCTCTCTGTCCCTGTCTCTCTCTCTCTCTCTTTCTCTCTCTCTCTCTCTCTCTGCGCACCCCCAGGCACTATGATCTGCAACACAGATACTGAGAGGTTCTCATGTTGGTTCCTTTATCTACTTTTAGCATGCAGTTCCTATCCAGAGTGATCATTTCCAAATATTTGTCATAATCTTTGACCCACATTTAAGGGCCTTGGCAGTCCTCCTTGGTGGTGCTGACATTTCTGCATTGCAAAATGTGTTCTGAAATTCTCTCAAAATGAGTCTCTTGATATTAGGTAGAAGAGTTAGGAAAACATAAATAAATTGAGTATTTGAAATTAATAATTCAATAAAGAAATGTAAATACTTGGTATCAGTGGAAATAATTCATAAAATATTTGAAAAACTTGTTCGTATGCACAACTAATTCTAAATAACTATTGATTGCATAAATCAATGTTTTGATTTGATGTAAATAAAATATACTTTTTATAAAAATATAATATAAACATTAACAATATGGGCTGGAGAGATAGCACAGCGGTAGGGTGTTCGCCTTACAAGCGGCCAACATGGCCGACCCGAGTTCGATTCCTCCGCCCCTTTCGGAGAGCCCGGCAAGCTACCGAGAGTATTCGATATGCCAGACACAGTAACAACAAAGTCTCCAATGGAGACGTTATTGGGCCCGCTCGAGCAAATCAACGATCAACGGGAGGGCCTTTACCTTCACCTTTTATTAACAATATAAGATAACTGATATAAGCCATAGTTAA